TGCTCGAGATTCGATAGAGCAACGCGTGCTCTTTCCGATAGGCCGCGTGCTCTATGATTTGGGCGACAATAGGACGTGAAAAAAAAGAGAGAGACAAAAAAAAAAAAAAAAAAGTACAGGGAATCCCCGGAGGCACTTATAGTAAAATTTTTTTTTGGTATGTAAAGGGGGTGTCATCCTCCTTACGGAACGCATATGGGAGGTGGTCAATGTGTATAATTTTATTGTTATCCTACTATAACGATCTGGTCGTTGCAAACACAGTACACTCCATATGTAAAGAAAATAAGAGTTACGCTGAAGACCAACGGGAAACCCCTTTTCAATCTTTCCTTAAGAGTTTCTTTTCGATTCGTAACTTTTCAGAACGACATTATACTTCACCGATTTTATTCAAAAGGGTGTTTGGGGGCCAGGTGTCTTAATGCGACTAAATGAATAGACAGAAGTGAGGACAAGATGAAAAATGGGTAGTTGGAGGTAGTTGAATTAGTTAGTGGACTGGATACTTTATATGGGGTGAAGATTGTTAGACGGTGGTAGGGAAGTCCGATGTGTATCCGCTGGGACGGACGAAACTGTTGCTATGTTAAAGGGGGGTCGGTCGTAATTAAGGGAAGTGGACGGTGGATACAGGTCAGAGCGAGACAAGTGTGACGACGGACTCTGCAGGCGAAAACTCTATAATGGGTACACATCCCGGAACCTTTTTCGAACTCACAGACCCCAGTTACTGGTCTCGTCGTCTAAGTTACTTCAAAAGGACGAGACTTACGGGGACGGGAAGACTTAATAAGTATCGGTTATACAATATATTTGGAGAGGCACCTCTCGACTGGAGCGGTCGATGTACTTCGCCCCAATTATGAGTTGTGAAAGATTTGAATTGAATTATTCCGACCAAGCTTAGAACCACACCCACTTTATCTCCCAGTGACCGTTACAGTCCGACTTCTTTCCGCAATAACTCTACGTCACCACTTACCAAGTAGCCATCGTAGGCGACGACCTGACTCACGTAAGGACAATAACGTACGAGACTCCGCTTCGACATTAGTTCTACCCTCTCCGACGTACCTCGATTGTCCCAATCTCCCAAAAATCTTAAATTTAGTGAATTTCCTGTGTAATGATACTGAGTCGAAAAGTCCCAGCAAGTATAGTCATACATCACAAGAAGTGAAATTTCTCAGAGAGGACGACTACAGGTCCAACATATAGCCATCTACATCGGACAGACGATGAACATTTCTCAGGAGAGAGACAAACTCGAAGTCCACATATAGTCTATACATCACGAGAGATGAAATTTCTCAGGAGAGGACGACGGTACGAGTTCCACATATAGCACCATACATCGACAGAGATGAAATTTCGTCAGGAGAGGACGAAGTACGAAGAGACCCACATATAGTGCATACGATCACAGAGATGAAATTTCCTCAGGAGAGGACGGACTACAAGTCCCACATATAGTCATACATCACGAGAGATGAAATTTCTCAGGAGACGGACCATACTTACAAGTCCGCACATCATAGTCATACATCGACAGCGAGAGAAATTCTCAAGGAGAGGACGACCTGACAAGTCCACAATATAGTCGATACATCACAAGAGATGAAATTTCTCAAAGGAGAGGACGACTAAAGTCACGATATAGTCATACATCACAGGAGAAATTTCTCAGGAGAGGACGACTGACAAGTCCACATATAGTCACACATCACAGAGATGAATTTCTAGGAGAGGACGACTACAAGTCCACATATAAGTCATAAATACAGAGATGAAATTTCTCAGGACAGAGGACGACTACAAGTCCACATGTAGTCATACATCGACAGAGATGAAATTTTCAGGAGAGGACGACTACAAGTCCAATGTAGGTCATACATCACAGAGATGGTAATTTCTCAAGGAGAGGACGACTACAAGTCACAATAGTCATACATCACAGAGAAGAAATCCCCCAAAGGAAAAAAAAAACGGGGTTTTTCTGGAAATTGTACGTGTTTTTTAGGATATAAATGTGCGACGTCCCATTATCTTGTTAAGTTTTTAGTATTATACCGGAGAAATTTGAACAGACACTCATAGTATACTAAGTAAGGATGGATTATGCTGTATTCCGGCAGAACATTAAGGTCTAGACTTTCGGTTAATTACAATACCTAAATCAGAGTCTAGGTCTGACAGCTGTTGCAATGACTTTTCATGTACCACACAATTATGAACATATCATAAAAGGTAGGAGTGTGCACTATGGCACAGAAGAAACACGTCCACAAGTCGCGTACTTCCTTTGGGTCGCGTACTGCTCCCGGACTTACTCTCCTTTGACGACTCCAATTTCGCGGGGACGACAAGTTAGTGTCAACGGATATCGTTGTCACATTCTGACTCGTCCCTCGTTCCGGCCTAATCATGGGGTCCCCGGGGACCGTGACTCTTGCAGTACGGGGGGGGGGGGGTTGGGTCGCATGGTTGTTCATTGTCGGCGTACACAGTTAAGTATCTCGTGCGCACGAGATACTAACTAGATTTTTTTGGAGAGAAAGTTACCGGTGCGCCAAGGAGGAAGTGAAGCGCACAGGACACAACCATTTCATTGCAGACTGTTATGTTTACGTGGGGAAATGACAGTGCATTATTTGAGATATATTTCGTACTCAGACTTCACTTTAAGGACATTTCGGCCACGGGTGTGTGGTCACTCCAGGAGGCAGCGGGACGTGTAACTCAGAGAAGAGCAGCACCAGCGCTCAAAGAGCTTTTACGCACCGGCTACTCTGTGTTTACCTTCATTGAACAGCTATAAAGAGTGACCACAGGCTGTTGCGTTTTAACCACACACACCTCTACACACACTACAAACTGCCCGATTATTCCCCCTTTTATTAGTTTTATGAAGGAGATCGCCGGTCATCAGGACGCATGATGGGCGGAATGGGACTAAAATCAGCCCGGGAATCTCACCCTGCCCAGCCGACGTAAACTGTCAACGGGGGTGGGGGGGGTTGGATGTCCGTCACTGGCTCTGTGTGTGTGTTCTGAGTGTTTGTTTCCCTATAAAACAGCTGCGGGGGAAGCAGGTACTCTGCGAGTCATGGACATTAATTCATAGATCAAAGCAGACTGGTTTACAGATTCTCCTGTTTTGCCAATCCGGTGCTTAAACCAATAGCTCTACACCCCTGGCCGAAATGTCCATAAAATTAAGTCTGACTTCAAAATATAGTCTATCTCAAATAATGTATGCTCTGTCATTTCCCCACGTAAACATAACAGTCTGCAATGAAATGGTTGTCTAATGTGTGTTCCGATTCCTCCTTGGTGTATCTGTAACTTTCTCAAAAAAAATAAAGTCAGGAAAACGGATTCGTTTCTCGTGCCCACATAAAATGAAGTCGCGGGCCGGAGTTTGAGACCCCTGCTGTAAGTCATTATTATGACTAACTATCCCGTACTAACGTAATAAATATTTCTGTGTCATTCAAGAAGGCGTGTAGAAAATATGTATTTTGTTTAATTAGATTAATGGTTGGTATTTGGCAGATTTGGAGGAAGTACTCAGATATTTTGCTTGATGAAACGTATCAATACCACAGTGTAGTGAACTCAATAGTTAACAATGAACAATAACTTGACTATTTTAGAACTACTGAATGAATCGTTGCATCATCACTGATTTTCGCTTCCAATAAATGTGAAATTAATTGATCTACACACATTATGGGATTGCAAAAAAAAAAAAAATGTTTGAGAGTAAATAAGGTTTTCCACATAGTAAATAAGGAGTAATTTTAGACAAAGCCAAAGTGTTTATGTATTAGATTGAGTGATCACACTGTGGGTAGATGTAATTGTAGACCTTATTTTTATAAAACGTTATATCACTTAATCACACTCAGCGTACTTCACTGATTCAGCATTGCATTCATACACTGTAAAACCTACTATGGAGAGTATCATCATTTATTTGACATTACCGAATTTTGAAGAGGGTAAGAGACACAGTGTGTGTTTTATAGAATTACTTTGTTTTCTGACTTGAAGTAGGGCATGAGGCAGCATGAGGCATTTTGTTGAATTTCAAAAAAACAATACATTTAATATAGAGAATTTCACAAAGTAATAAACACAAGCAATAAAGCAAGTAATAAAAATGGTTTCAGTCCTCAGCAACTGGAGTCCAGCAGCAACAGAAGGTAGCTTTGATCCGACCGAGGAATCTGCGAAGCCTTCTCATTACTTTTTTAGTCTGACCAGTGGTGACTGAGGCTGCAGCAGTGAGCTCTGCTGGGTTTGCTCCATCAGAACCCAAGGAATCTGAATCTCCTTCATAAGAGAATGGAGGTATTTCTCCCTCAGAAGACACATCTGAATCTCTTTCATAGAAGCGTGGAGGTATGTTTCCATCATACAGCCAGGAATATGGATTTTCTTCATTCGAGCGTTGAGGTATTTCTCCCTCAGAAGACAAATCAGAAGCTCCTTCATAACAGCATGGAGGTATTCTTCCCTTGTAGAGACAGGTATATGGATCTTCTCCATAGAAGTCAGGTTTGCAAATAGCAGAGTTTTTAACCCTGTGTTTTGAGGCCTCCATTGAACAGACGCTCGTAAAGAATCTGGAGGAAAAGTAAGAAAGTAAGACAATCAAAGAGTGAAACATTCAGTCATTACATATAGTAAGCCCATCCAACCTCAGAGGTTACTGCTGTGAACAGATACACAGTCACTTACTTGGCTCTGCTGTCAAAGGGCTCAGTCAGGTACGACTTTGTCATGAAGGAGTGCTGCAAAGCATGCTGGGGAGAGATTCTCTGATCCCCGTCAACATGCAGAAGCTGTTTGAGGAGGTCCACAAAAGCCTTCCTGTCCTCAAATTCAGCAGCCTCCTCTTTTGGATAAATCTGGATTTGAAAACAGATTAAGGTCAGTTGATGCAGCCAGAACTATCAGACACAGATTTTAAACTGGTTCTGTTTCAGTCTTTACTTATACAACACAGCAAAGAGGACATACATTGACAAGATCATCCAAAGACATCCGGAGGTCTTGGGAGCTGTCCTGCTTCTCTTCCTTTATTTTTATGGCAGCTGGCATTTCGGCAGGCAACTAATATATGAGACACAACACAATATGAGATTATTTTTAAAACAGTCTTTTCAAATGATTTAACCAACTAAAAAGAAAAAAGAACATGGGTACTCTACCTTCAGTCTCCATGTTGGATGGTGAGCGGCTACTTCCTGAATGAAGAAGCACTCTGTATATTTGCCAGCACAGAGCATGTGGTCTTCTGGCTGACCCAGAACATCAACCATGAACTTAATCTGAAGACGACATAGACAGAGTTACAGCCAACATTCTGCATAAAAGTATCTGGACATTCGTCTGAGGAACTGAAGCTGACCTACCATCTGATATTCACATTCGACAGGAAAGAGGTTATTAGCCAGATAGAGGAAAGACAGAATGCAGCCGACGCCCCACACATCAATAGCCTCTGTGAACGGGAGGCCGAGGGAAATTTCGGGAGATCTGAGAAGGAAGCCCAAAGATTAGATCTTTGTCGGCAGCTGTTGAGGACCAAGAGAACAATGTGGATGGTTAGTTGAACCTACCTGTACCCTAGTGGCTGAAGAACCAGACCAGTCTGGACTTTGGATGATGTAATAGCTAGGCCAAAGTCTATTAACTTCACTTTAAAGGGCTGGTCCAGCTGGTTGACACACATTATGTTCTCGGGTTTGATATCCGTATGCAGGATGCCAAGACCCTTCAGTGCATCCAACGCCACCAACAGCTGCAAGGTCAAACAGAAAACAGAAGTTGGGTGTTTAGTTTGCTGCTGTGTCGGACTATGGAAGGTTTCCTTCAGTAATCCGTAATGCATATATAGAACAAAAGATAATTGCTTCTACATTAAAACTGAAAATACCTGCTTTGCTACGGTAAAGATCTCTTTCAGAGACAGCGGTACCCAGTCTCGTTCCTGCATCAGCTGATAAAGGTCCTGGTCGAGCTTCTCGAATGCTAGACAGGTCTGTCCCAAATGATCAAACCGCTCAAAGAACTTCACCACGTTACTGTGGTCTGGATTGAGTACACTGATGACCTCCAACATGGACACCTAGCGAGAAAATAAGGTGTATAGTATATACTGTGTTGGAGGAGACACAATAAAAGCAAGGAAAACTGTCTTCAAAGAATCAAAAGGAGTCCAAAAGTCTACCTCTTTCTCAATGTCCTTGATCGAATCTTTGTCCTTCTTTAGGATTTTTATGGCCACGGTCTCTCTGGTTGCCAGATTTCGGCACTCAGCCACTCTACCAAAGCAGCCTTCACCAATGAACTCCAGAACGGAGTAAGCAGAGGAGCTGCTGAACAGAGTTTGACCTGCCCGAATCTCAGGTGCTGTCAGTGTTATGGGGGGAGGAAACAGCGTGTTAAGTCAACACAACATGGACAAACACACAGCTAAACCATAAATAATGTTCTTGTATTTCATATTTTAATGAATTTATTTATAGGAAAACAGATATAAGAGTGGTGAGATAAGGTTAGTGTCAAAACCAACAATGGCCTCCAGTAACAAACACTACTATACTTTATATTTCCCAAGACTGATTGTACAGACAGTGGGCACACAATGTGTTTCACATTGAGCAATCTGTGTTTGATTAGTTTGTTGGGAACACATTGATATACAGATGGTGTTTTCCAAAGCAGATATATTCCACTTCATGTTGAATTTAGTTTGTGTTGAGTCTTTCTTACCTGATGCACCAGAGGCATCAATGTTCGACCACAATGACATTGTCAAAGTGAAACCTTCTCAGTTAAGTGTTTCCAAGGTTGAGGATGAACCTTCAGACCAGAATTGTTCGCAAATTATAACTGTGTACCAACGTCTCTAGTCTCAAAAGTGTGTGTCTCTCTCTCAATGCTTGGGGTTTAATGAGATGATTCCAGGGATCTGGAACATAGAACCAACCTCTGTGTTGCAGCATTCCATTCCTTTTAGAACATTCCATTTGGAACTAACCTAAAAATCAGCAGCGACATTCTAAAGAAACATGTTTTTATTCAAACCTTCTCATAAATATAAGACTTCTGCTCCTGGTAGTATGAGTACATACACTTTTTTGGATTTCACAGACTATTTAGAGACTGTTCGTACAGTCAAATCACACATAACAGCACAGTGTGTGTGTGTGTGTGTGTGTGTGTGTGTGTGTGTGTGTGTGTGTGTGTGTGTGTGTGTGTGTGTGTGTGTGTGTGTGTAAGAGGAATGAAAACAATTGTTAACACACTTTTTAGTCTAGTACAGTTAGCATTGGGGCAGTAGTTTGTGTTCCAGCTACCTCCAACTCAAATACATTAAATTATCAACCTGATGGAGATTGAAGCCTCTTATTTAAACTTATTGTTCCCTGGTCTGATCTGTCCAATACTACAAAAACATTATTTGTGGAATAGCAATTTTTTGGGGGGAAATCAGCACTAATAGTTTGGACCGGCTGTTAGAATTGCAGAAGATGCAGTATTTTATTTACACTTTGACAACGTGTTAAATTCAGGATAAAAGTTAAATGCTATATGTATTTTAAGGAGAAGAAAAGCCTTGACATTTTTCCCTTGTGTTTTAATTGAATAAACTCAACCCCCTGATGCTTGCTTGAAAAATACCTTAACAAAAACTGAATATATAAGCAAGCTTTTTGCAATCTATTTCTGGAACTGACATTAAGGGAATGGAAATGAAATGGCATTGCATGAAAAGTTTTCCATAGTTGCCACGAGTCAAAAACATCTGCTTATGTAGTTCCTGTTATCATTGGCTGACCCATGTATCCCCTCCTTCTCTATCCAGGTACATGTTGGGTCTGTCGGTGCTTCCCGCCATGATCCAGTTCTTGGGTTTCCTGTTCCTTCCAGAGAGCCCCCGCTGGTTAATCCAACGTGGGCTGACCCAGAAGGCCCGTCGCGTCCTCAGTCAGATCCGAGGGAACCAGAACATTGACGAGGAGTACGACAGCATCAAGAACAGCATCGATGAGGAGGAGAGCGGAGGAGGTAACGGGGGGGAAATGAGAGATTTATTATGCTGGTGGTTGTTTAGTAAGGGTTACCTGAAGATATTTGAGGTATGTCTTATAGCTTAATGACGTAGAAAATGTCAATTAAAGCTGCTCTTGCCTGTGTATGGATCTACAAGGCATGCACAGCAATAGCATCCATGCACATATTAGGTAAGGGATAATGTGCAGCGAGGCGGTCCTTATGGGGAAAAGAACACCCGACAGGCTGATCAGGAGCCCGACGCAAAGTTTGCTTTTCGGCCAAACTACAGTTAAATCGACCGAACTTCTTTCTGCAGATTTGAGCGTCCTTAACAACGGTCAATAAGTCCTTGACAGCGGTCTGTCTGTTCTGGATTAACAACGTGTCACGTGTTCTGAATTGACCAATCAAAATCTAGTATTCAACTAAGCCATGTAATAACATGGTGGTAATGTGATAGACATTCATTTGCTCCAAATTTCACTAAACGAAAGTAGGTGTCAGGTAAAACATAGCATTTCGCTAAGCATTTTTTATTCCTCTGGTTGTTCTGGTACCTGGGGATAGCCACTTTAATATATTTTGTTGAGTTGTTAGCTATTTTTTTGGGTTGCCTCTTGCAAAAATGCTCTCTGAAAGGCAGTCTATATGTCTATAGTGACAGCGAGGCTTATGGGAAACCAATATAAACGCCAATGGGATCATTATCCTACAACCATTATATTGTGTTATCATCATTTACTCCGTAATGATAGGCAAAGATGTTGTCTGTTGTCACTTTAATTAATACTTTCTTCTTCGTGGTCAATTATTGTGTGAGCTGACCTTTGCTTAGATGCTGCTATTTGGTCAAGGCTTTGCGAGTGTGAGCAGACAATTAGACGAAGCTTTCAGAATGACGGCTGATGATTATGGGCTTATGGTATACTATTGATGCAGCTCCTGACAATCATGAAAATCTGTTTATTTCAAAGGTTGTATGTTGGACTGCAAGTCTTACCCACCTCTAATCTAATTTCAATCCTTGCTCAAAGCATTCCAATACAGATTTACACACACTTGTACTTACCCATATACTATCTTACTCTTTATATGCCATCTGTTTGTGCCTCTGTGTGTACGAGAAAGCAAGAATGAAGTACAATTACATCTACAGAAGAGAGACGTTATGTATTTTATCACATGTAGAGCATATGGTGCCATAATTGTTGCAGTGATGGGAATTTGAATCCAATTTCAAAAACAGTCTCACTATTCCGGGAAGTCTTCCATCAACATCTTATTTAAATGTACATCGTCCCTTGACCATTAAATAAGCCATTCAAATAACAATAAAGCAAACTATTTGTACACATTTAAACGATGCTAGCTATATCATTACATTACATTTCATTTAGCTGACACTTTCATCCAAAGCAACCTACAGGGACATTCACCCTGGAGTAACTAAGAGCTATGTGCCTTACTCAAGGGCACACTAGTGGTAGTGTTCCCGGTGGGATTTGAACTCACAACCTTCCGATCTTCACCCCACCTCACTATCCATTAGACCTCCACTAATCCCTATCAGAGTTTAGATTTTGATTTGGGGAACCAACCCATGCCAAACAATTTATCCAAGAGAGCGTTACGTTTATAATAAGTATGCATCTATCTGTTTGCTACTCCAAGCATTTAAGCTAAGCATCCAATTAGGTTTATGTGAAAATGAGAAATCTGATGCTACATGTTTCTGGTTATGGTGCTGACTTTTTGCCAGGAAATATTTAATTTTAGGCTTTTTCCCATGTATTCAGCCATCAAGAGCATATTTACGACAGCGGACGTTTTCTGAGATTCCCGAGGAAATAACTTAGCTTCCTTTGTCACAGCAGTCATAGACAATGCTAAAGGACATTATTAGATGCAATACTTCAATTTTCCCAATGATGAGCTGTGAAGAGAGGGAAGGAGAGAAGAGGACATTAGATTCATCCTGCCATTAATCAACCTTGACAACGGAGAACACCATGTCTCTGGAAAGAGTGGCTTCCATTGGTCCTCAGGGTCCAAGTGGCCTGTGGTGAAGAGGAGCGTCTATAACACACACACATTATCTCACACTGATGTATAAAAATACACAGGCTGTTGAGTGTCCTTCTCCTGGGACTCAGTGTGTCCCCCGCAGTTTCCCGTTTCTCCTCCTCATTGTAACTCATGGCTGCAGTCATCTTCAGTTACTGTAGGCACAGCAGGCAGACTGCTTGTTATCTGGCAGCTGGTGTTCAACACTGGAGTTTTGAGCATGAAATGTGAGTGATGGACCCAATGCACAGACTTTTGGGAACGTCGTCTTATCTAAAAATAGAATTCTTAAGGCAGAAATTTAGGATTTTTCTGGTTTCTTGCTGAGACATGACCATTATACGGCATCTTTCTGTGTTTTCTGGTCAGAATGAGGCGTTAAAATGTTCTACTGAACTCACTAACTAGCCACTTTAAAAAAACAAAATGGCCCTTGCTGGCTGCTTATTCTCAAAAGTCCATGCAATATGCTGCGAACTCTGCAGCCTGATTGCCACCATTGCCAGTTGACAGTTTTCTCTTATCTTATGATACTTGAGATGCATCGATGCAAGGCCATGTTTCTACAGTAGCCCAACAGACAAACTAAACTAGAGAGGGCCTTTTGCTTTTTTACGCTTGTATAGGGAGGCAGTGGGCGCAGCAGTATTCAGTTGGTTGCAATCTGCAATATTAATGCTAGATGCCACTAAGACCTACACTTGACCTTTAACCAGTCCTTTGGTATAATATTGAATGTCATCCATATTAGACTTGTATGCAACAAGTCAAAGATTTGTATCACTATCTCTCAACTTTTATTTTGAAGACACCACAGAATTGGTTTAGATTTGCAAGTGCAAGACAGCTACGTCCAACTAACTGAATTCATGACCAACCTCTTTGAGTTTAAAACGGTATGTAAGATATTTTTGTATTTTATCAAGCAAAGGTCTCACACTAACACAGGAGGTTTTTGAATCTTTAACTGACTTTTGTAGGATTAGTGCAGAAAGGGCAGACACTACATGAAACAACGTGACTCAACCTTTATATTTTACTTCTACCTTTCAGCACAGAACAGCCGTGTTCATGTTTTTTTATTCTCTTTTCCAAATTCAGTGTAAATTAAATAGTTTGCTCTCGAGGTCCCTCGCGACTGAATCCAAAGTGAAAAGTGTCTTAATGTCTGGCCGCCATCTGTGCCCCATCATTTCATGACTGCACTGCTAGTATTTTTCCAATTGACATGCTCCTTTTAGGGCTGATGATGTATGACCTGGGAAGCAGCTGTCGCTTAGCAACCAGGCGGACAGAGAGGACAGAGTAGAGGTAGACAGACAGAATAAAAAGGGAAGGGTAAAAGGTATTTATTTGGTTACAGAGGCTCCTGATTGGCTCGGTCGGGTAACATCAAACACACACCTGGTTGATCCAGGAGCAGGAAGTTCTTGGGCTTAGGTCAAAGTATGAAAGTGTTTTGTTCTGATTTATTCAATGGTTTTGTATGTATCAGTGGTATTGACATTTTAAAGACTTGTGTTTTCTCACCTGGAAAAACTAAGACACACGTGCTCCTTCGCTGACATGTCGGTTACCATGGAAACAACACTTCTCGCTTCCTTTTTCCTCTCACCTCGGACTTATTACACTGTGTATACAACTCGGACTTACGCACACACACACACACACACACAAACAACACGTCTCATTCATCACTTTCTTTCAAAGTTGTTATCCTTTTTGAAGGCCCTTTTTACAAAATAAAACACAAAGACAAGTAAAACCAGACAAAAAGAGAAAATAAATTTCACAATAAAACATCAAACACAAAACTAAGATCATGCACTACAGGATTATGCCAGCCTTTGTCCGGGGATAAGACTACTTTTTTATTTAGTTTCAGTCTCAAAAATGTATCTGTAATGTTTCTTGCTCAATCTTGAAAGTCTTGAAGCTGTTTATTTCCAATATAAGATGCTGTATCTATGATCGAATTGTTGTATGTTTGCCACTTAGAAGTCTTGTAATTGTGTGAAGAGGAGTATGGGAACTCTCATTGCCTGCTTCATCTACTGAAACTCAAAGATGTAATGATGGTGTGGTGTCAGCCCCGAGGCAATGAGCTTATTCTCAGCCTGAGAGGTGCAAAGGAGAGAGGGGGGAGAAGAGGAGGGGAGGAAAAGAGCAGAGGGGTGAGGAGAGGTCGAAGACAACGAGAAAGTGAAGTGGAAAATGGAGGTGTTGGGGCAGCAATTATGATGGAGGAGCAGGATTGTGGCAATATTGCAGACCAATTCTGTCAGCCATTAGATTGCCGTTCCTCATCGTATTGAACACATTGATTTCTTTAGAGCGCTTCTTCATAACAATTCTAGCTCCATTCAGCACTGACAGACTCAGATGTAACCTGACAGAAACAAAGGTCATGAATAGACTCTGAGTGATCGAGGCAGAATCGAGCAATAGACCACTTTATCTACAGCTACATGACATGGACACTGCTACAGCAAATGCGGTTAAAGCGAAAGCCAATAAAAAAAGAATGGGATTATTGGTGATTACACTATATATACAGTATTGTCTGTCAAACAGATGGCTCCTTTTAAAGGGGTAGTCCACCTAATATCAGTCTGTGAAAATGAAATCCTTAATCTCTTCAGACTTGAAAGGTTGATTTAAAAAGTTGCGTCTTTATGTCCACAGAGTAGTGTCTACAGAAATAGTTTTGGGTTTTTTAGCCAATAAAGTGTAGCTAATAACATTAATGTTGGCTCAGTTCTTTAGTGTCCCAGTGCCCCATGAAAATAAAATGACCCTGGACTAATTGACTGAGGTCGTGGTAGCCAAACATACAGTAGGCATGAAACCTCAACAGCATTGTGCATGAAGATTGAGAACATTCGAAAGAGTGTTTCCATTTAAAAACAACAATATTGTATTTACATTGTGGCAAATTTACGGTCAGT